CTTCCCCCCCTGGCTCCCCCCCCCCGCCCGCGCGACTCTCCCTCTTGCCCCCCCCCCCCCCCGCCGCCCCGCGCCGCCGCTCGCCGCTCGCCCTCAGCTCGCCGGGCCACGCTGCTCACCGTGCCCACATTAATGGCGGCCTCATCCGAGGAGGACATCGACCGGCGCCCCATCCGCAGGGTGCGCTCCAAGAGCGACACGCCGTACCTGGCCGAGGCGCGCATCTCCTTCAACCTCGACGCAGGTGAGAGCGGCCCCGCGGTGCCCCCCGCTGCAGGGACCCCGCGCTGCGCCCTGCGGGCTCTGCAGGGACCCCTCCCCGCAGCCCCCCCGGCGCTGGGTGCACACTCTGGGTTGCTGTTGCCTTCAAGTCAAGACTTCTTTAAGTAACCCCCCCAAAAAAATGAGCTGTAGGTAAGTTGGATGGTGACCCAGATGGCCTACGGTGCCAAATTCCGGGGCTAAGGAGCTGGGAGTAAAGAAGGAGGTGAAATGCAAAGGAGCATGTCTGTGTGCAAAAAGAGGCTCTGTGCATCTGGTTGGACTGCCAAAATGCACCCTGTGTTGGCTTGCACTGTCACAGGTGATACCATCATGTCATGCAGTTATAAATAGGTAAACTGGTTAAGAGGAAGGCACCTTGAGGTTACCTGGTGCTACCATCTTTATGCTGAGCTAGGCATGCTGTTGTTACTACAACAAAACCCGGAAGATGTGCAAGTCTCTAGGTACCTCTTTCCTGCAACACACAGGGAAATTTTGTAATTGTGCTCAGCTTTGCTATCTTTGCTGTCTTTGCCTTGCTCCCTTTAATAAGTGTAGCAGAGCTTTACTTTCAAACCTGGGAATGGAATTCCTTTAAAATAAATAATTAAAAGAAACAGTCCTAGTATATTCAGAAACATAAATGGAAAGTGTCTGAAGCGGAGCAAGTGTGTGTTTTCATTAATCCATCTGCCAATGAGTAGTTTTGAGCTTTAGCGAAAAAAAAAAAAATTGCTTAGCAACCCCTATCGAGTGAGTGATCTAACACAAGCAAAACGTGCCTATGGTTCCCACTTTATTTCTGAGCTTTGGGTTTACTCTCCAGTTTTCTGAGGAAGTGCAAATCAAGAGGCCTGCACCTGCGAACTATGTGCACTGAGGAAATGGATGTTAGAAAATTCGCTTAGCCACTTTTGCTTCTACCTGATGATGGGGGGCAATTTACTTTTTTAAACGTGCTGCTTATAAGGCACAATAGTCTTTAATATTGTGTGTGTGTGCGTAAAAGTATTTCTAAAGTTAGTGTCCTGCAACTTTGCAGAGGAAATTCGTATTAATGTGTTATAGAGAATGCCAAATAACTCTTAATACCTTAGGAAACGCTAGTGGATGGCGGGGGGGGG